GTTCCAGCTACTTGGAAGGCTGAGGCAGAAGGATCGCTGGAACCCAGCAGGTCGAGGTTGCGGTGGCCGGGAGCGCTTCAGTCTGGGTGACACTGCATTCCACTGCACTCCAGTCTGGGTGACAGAGTGAGACTCTGACTCAAAAAAACAAACAACAACAACAACAAAAAAAAAAACAGAATTTTACAAAATAAATAATAATCACTTTTTGTAATTTCATGAAGCTACATTAACGAGTACGGTCTTGGAAGAAGAAAGAAGAGAGAGATCAGAGATCCTAGTGTTGAAACTTGGAGAAATTTCACAGCATATCATCCAAAAGAGGAGTTCACAATGGAGGCAGAGGAAATCCTGGCGAGGTAGGAAACCCTGAAGATAGGGCTTGGGGTGCTTTGGGAGGGCTCTGCCAAAAATTTAGTTGGTTAACACTTATCAACAGTATCTTGGGTGCCGGGCTCGGTAGCTCAGCCTGTAATCCTGTGCCTTTGGGAGGCTGAGGTGAGTGGATGGCCTGAGCCCGCGGGTTCGAGACCTGCCTGGACAACTTGGCGAGACCTCATCTCTACACTAAATCAAAAAATTAGCCGGGTGTGGTAGCGCATGCCTGTAATTCCGGCTACTTGGAAGGCTGAGGCGGAACGATCGCCGAAGCCCAGCAGGTGGAGGCTGCGGTGGCCGGGAGCGGCCACTGCACTCCAGTCTGGGCGACAGAGTGAGACTCCAATTCAAAAAAATATATATATATATATCTTGGCCAGAGGCAGTGTCTCATGCTTGTAATTACAGTCAGTACTATAGGAGACTGAGGCGGGAGGATTGCTTGAGCCCAGGAGTTCGAGACCAGCCTGTGCAATATAGTAAGGCCTCATCTCTACAAAAAAGTAAAAAATTAGCCAGACATGGTGTTGTGTACCTGTAGCCCCTTCTACTTGGGAGGCTGAAGTGCCAGGATTGTTTTAGCACAGGAAGTCAAGGCTGTGGTGCTCCTTGATCGTGCCACTGTACACCAGCCTGGGCAACAGAGTGAGACCCTGACTCAAAAAAAAAAAAAAAAAAAAAGCTGGGCTCATGCCTATAATCCCCGCACTTTGGGAGGCTGAGGTGAGAGGACTGCCTAAGCCCATGGCTTCAAGACCAGCCCAGGCAACTTGGTGAGACCTTTTCTCTACAATAAATCAAAAATTACCTGGGTGTGGTAGTGCACACCTGTAGTTCCAGCTACCTGTAAGGCTGAAGTAGAAAGATCTCCAGAGCCCAGCAGGTCGATGCTAGGGTGGCCATGAATGTGCCACTGTCCTCCAGCCTGGGCAACAGAAGAGAGACTCCAACTTAAAAATAAAAAAATTTATTTATAAATCAAGGTCTCACTCTGTGCCTGACTAATTTTTTAAATTTTTGTGGAGATGAGGTCTCACTGTGTTCCCCAGGCTGGTCTTGAGCACCTGGGCTCAAGTAATCCTTCTGCCTCAGTGTCCTACAGTGTTGGAATTACAGATGTGAGCCACCGTGCCTCCCCCCACCCCTTTTTGAGTCAGAGTCTCACTCTGTTGCCCAGGCTGGAGTGCAGTGCATGCTGCTCACAGCCACCACAGCCTCGACCTACTGGGCTCAGGCAATCCTTCTGCCTCAGTTTTCCAAGTAGCTGGAACTACAGACATGCATTACTATGCCCAGCTAAGTTTTTGATTTATTGTAGAGAAGAGGTCTCACTATGTTGCCCAGGCTGGTCTCAAACCCACAGGCTCAGGGAATCCTCTCACCTCAGTCTCCCAAAGTGCTGGGATTATAGACGTGAAACACTGCTCCTGGTTCCCCTTTTTTTGTTTTAACTTATTATAGAGACAAGGTCTTGCCAAGTTCCCCTAGCTGGTGTCAAACCCCTGGCCTCAGGTAATCCTCTTGCCTCTACCTCCCAAATTGTTGGGATTATAGGCATGAGCCACCGTGCCCAGTCAATACCCCATCTTAAATAGAAAGAAAGAAGCCAAAAAGTATTCATCTAGTGTTCCAGTGTGATAAGATGACTTTCAGGGTCAGAATCAACATGTAATGAAGAGAATGCCCTTCTGCAGGGTTGCTGCTCTAACTTGGGAAACCCCCAGACACAGTCAGGTAGCCTAAGATGTCACTTCAGAGAACACCTGAAATCCTGAAGAACTTTATCCATCCTGAAGAAAGGGTATATTAATAAGAGACAGTATTTTGCTTGGTGCCTACTTTCCATCACCAGCTCTCGTGTCCAGTTCACACTCTTTTATCTTATCTGGTCTCCCTCACTCCTCTTGGCTCTTGTTTTCCCCACGTCCATTTTCAGTTTTGTTGTAAATTATCTCTCATGTCAGGATCCTTTTGTGATTCATAAGTGTGATGATTGGGTTTTCACGTACATGTGTAAAGTGTGTCTCCCTCAAACCTTGTTACCAAGTCTGCCAAGAACGTAGAAAAAAAAATCGGATCGTGTCATTTCCCTGCGCAAATCACTTCCATAGTACCCCACTGCCTTGGGATAGAGCCCTGAGACTGTATCCATATCACTCTCACAAGCATCCTCTGCTGCCATCTTCTTTGCAGTTTCCCAGAGCCTTCCTGGGTTTTCATCACTCCCTGTCATTGGAAGTGTGGCTTCTCCTAGGATGGATGCCCGGCCCTCCTAGACATAACTTGGAAAGCTGTTCTTAAGCTCCAGGCGGAGTCAGATGCCCCTGTACGTACCCTTGTAACAGTTCTGTGTGGTTGTTGATAGTGTGATTTCTCATCCTTCATATGGAGACTCTCTTGAGAGCAGGGAAGATCGGTATCGTTTTTTTCTCCTTCGGTACCCTACCGCACCATATTTTCCTAACCAAACCCAGATTCAAGTAGTGTTTCTGGCTGTCATCCTACTTGTCCTGATTTGCAGGTTTACAAAATACACAAGCAGTGCAGCCGAGCTTAGAAGCGCGCCTTGCCAAGACCTCCCTAGACCGGGATCTTGCCGCTTGCAGTTCCCGGCACGGCCGCCAGGGGCCGCCGGGCTCTTTGTTTTCCTTTCTCGCCCGTGGTTGGGGCCAGAGGCCTGCAGAGCGCATGCTCTGGGGCAGTTCGCGGCCCGCGGGCGAGCGCTGGAGTTCCTTGTGGCCGACCTGCATCGAGGTAGGTCTCGCCCGTGAAGTGCGGAGGGGCTGGACAGACGGCGGCGAGCGGGGC